ATCATTAATTTCTTGGTGGGTGGTGCCAGATCCAAAGTAGTGACAATATCAGAATAATCACTAAGTTGGGCTCTAATTGTCTTGCTGTCCAACTCTTTGACACTGTCAACAATGAGCTTCCTCTTCCTCTTGGCTTTTGTTTCTTTAACTGGGATAATAAAAAATAAGATCATTTTCCTAAGAGGCCAGCTACAAGATCTAGACTGACTATATCCCCCTGCTTTTCTATACACAGACTCTAGCAGAAAAGGTAAACTTCATGAGGGTAGGATGCTTTAACCGATGGTTTCCATTCACCCTTTAGAATAGAGGCACACAATAGAATAGAGGCACACAATAGGTATTCAACAAAAATTTGCTGAATGAGTATGTATAGACTTTTAGCACAAAATAAGTAAAATGATGAAAGGGCCAATATATTTTTACCTATGTAGTTTTATACTGTAAACAATGAGCACTCTATTCAGAGTTTGGCTCATTTTCTCATTTGAAACAGGGCCTATCACTTACAGGGGTTGTAAAATATTTGGTATAGTATCTGCCACAAATTGAGTTTTCTTTAATGACTACAAATACTATTATTTTTATGGGAAAAGTGATAATTCATATATGGCAGTTACAGAAGCTGCTTGACAGAGTGAAAGAAGTCCAAGCCTGGTCAGACAGACCTGTAACTCCATCCTAGACATTTTAAAATCGTCATTTCTAATCCTTAAAACTTGCAAGGAGGCTGTACTGTCTCGCTTTTTTAAAATGCAGAAAAGCTCATGGGGTTAAATAAAATCCTTAAGATTGCACCCCGTCAGACATACCCCAAAGGTTTTTGGTTCAACACTTATAAAATACAAAAGGACGTTATACAGTGACAGTCTCTCTCTAATCTCACTATCTAATACAGTATATATTTTACTTAATTGTCCATTTCCCTAATCAATGGGAAACACAAAAGGGTAATCTTGTTCTACTTAAAGGTAATAAGTATGTATGTCTTAAATTACACTGTAATTAATTTAAAGTATTCTACCCTACTGTCCTCATAAACCATCTAAAAATTGTTTAAACTGTTATATCCCCATTACATCATCTCAGATTGTCACTCAGAAGCAGCCCTCCCAAATTAAGTAATGGTGTCTTGCAATGTTACTTAAAAAATACTATAAAAAAAGATTACTGATTCTAGAATTTTTGATGTTTCCAGTTTTTAAATTTTAAAAAATTTCTTTTTTCAGAACATGTGAAAAAAGGCAAATTCTAAGAGTATATATATAAACAAAAAATTCTTTTTGAAGAGACAGTCTTACTAACTATATTTACTGCCCAGGCTGGTCTCAAGCTCCTGGCCTCAAGTGATTTTTCTACCCTGGCCTCCCAAAAGCACTGGATTACAGGTGTGAGCCCCCATGCCAGCTTCCAGGTTTGTTTTTTTAAGAACATTTTTAGTTTTTTCCAGATTGTAGCCCAACTGTACAGCCTTTAGAATTGTACTTTATTGAAAAAATGCTTTGCAATGTTTTCTAGTGGTTACACATGTGAGCTGCTAACGTTTTGGGAACCCCAAGAGACAAAGATACTCATTATCAGAAAACTTCTTCTATACTTTTATATTTCACGGCAACTTGCACAGACATTTCTACAAAATACTCAAATTATAATTGGATAGAAGAAAGACATTATGACAGATGACTGACATAAAAACAGCTTAGTTATATAAAACAACAGTAACAGATGAGTAGACAGGCAAGAACCAGAAATAAGACCTTATGTTGAATGTTGTACAAATCTAAAGGTTCATAAGCTCACCAGTTATATCAATAGGTTCCAATGCAAATGCTTCTTCCTCATTTGGAACAAGTGTTGTTTGATCAGTCATGGTTGGCATTGGTTCAACGGGATCCACTGAATCAGGACTATCAGGCCCACCCACTATAAAAACAAATACAGTCACAAAAAGCTTGGGTATATAATATATATCCTACAAATGGGGGGAGAAAAACCCTTCATAAAATGGAAAGAAATCCTGCTATTACTAAGAAAAACATATTTTTCTAGTTATGAGAAAGCCCCACCAGACTTGAACCCAACTGGCCAAAAAATGGGGAGGGGCACAAGATTAAACATATAAGAGAATCAGAACCAGTAATCAATCATAAGCACTGTACTTAAGGATATTTGTAATTCATTAAAAAAACAACTTTTAATTTGTCATCTTCTATGATAAGTATCTTTTTGGATGCCATACGATCATCCCTAGAATCACTGAACATGAAATGCTTACTTGATACATTATCATCCTCATCCATATCGTCATGTGCAGGCTGCTCTGGCAACATCACCCCTGCCTCAGAGAGGGCAGGGGGATCATCAAAGATTCCGCCATCATTATTACTAATTAGTTTGTCATCTGAAATAAGAGAATGTAAGTTAGCTATAATTTGAAAAAGAAATGCCAAAACCACAATAGCCAATCACTAGAAAAACAAAATTTAGTTAAAAGGCATAAAATTTAAACATATATTCAATTTTTATCTGTTTCTCCTCTAGGTAGTTTAAAAAGTATAAAACACTTAGTATACAAAACAATTCTCATTCTTGACTTGTATTTTCTAGTTCATTTATCTATTTTAAAAAATATTTACTTACCATTGCTATCAAACACAAATAGAACAGTTTTAAGTACTAGTAAAATTTAGCACTCTGAGATAAGCATCTTTAGGTTTTGTTATAACATTTTAAGAGGCTAGTTTTACAGAATGTCTTATTAAGCCAACTGATCACAATTCATACATAAATATCTAATAGCTATTCAAGACTCAGAATTAGCAACTGCTTCCAAAACCTTAAAACTTAATAAAGAAGTTATGTTTATGTTCAAATAACCATCATTTTCTCACATACCTAATATTCCACCATCATTTCCTTCTCCAAAATTATCATCCTTATATTGGTCTTCATATTCTAAATGGTTGATTTTCTCATTCAGATTGCTGGTGCTCTGTTCAGACTCTAATAGGAGGTTAGAAGCAGTAGTGCTTACTAACATGTCATCGTCCTCAAAAGCACTGCCTTCTCTCATTATCTCACGATCATCCATTCCAAAATCACCTAAACAAATTTTGATTTGTCATTAGTTCAGAAAGGTTAGAAATACCAGTTATAAAAGAAAACAGCTAATGATTTATTATAATTATATTACATTTGCTTACTGAAGTCTTACTTATTGTTAAAATATCTTGTTTAAGCTTTAAATCTTTAGCATCAAAGTTTTAAAAAATGGCTCAATTACACACAGCTACAATACTGGGACACATCCAGCAGATTCAAACTTAGATCTAGATTTAAGTAATCCTAGATAAACCCTAAATATGTACTTATGTTAAGTTACATTAATATTCACAGCTTAAACTTTCCTGTTATAATGCATTTCATCAAGAAAAGAATCTGGTTCTGAGCACAGCAGCATGTGCCTGTAGTCCCAGCTACTTGAGGCTGAGGTGGGAGGATCACTTGAATCCAACAGTTTGAAGCTGTAGTGTCCTATAATGCTGCCTGTGAATAGCCACTGCACTCCGGCACGGATAACACAGAAGAGACCCTATCTCTTTAAAAAAGAGTATGCCTTGCTACTAGTTTTGAATACCTGTTTTTGAATAGCAAGTACAAAAGGGAAACTATTCCAAAATGGTTAGTTTAAATGTGATCACTACTTCAATGTTGGGACTCCTCACGGAATCAACATATAGGTTCTATGATTATATGTAGGGAGAGGAGTAGGTAAACAATTAACTCTAAGTATGAAAATAATGCTTAATCTACTGGTGAAAAACCAAACTCTTTTCTTGATGAAAATACATTAGATGAAATTTCAAGCCTTTCTATCAATGTGAATGTAATATAGTCCGGTTTTCTTTTGAAATTGCTATTAGCAACACGATATAATTATAACATTAAAACTAATGGCTAGTAATTTCTCTTTTTACCGAAATCATTTTCTTGTAAAATACTGATGTTCCCAACTTCTTCTCTCATGGTTATCTCTTCCACTCTACTCTGATTCAAGCTGAATTGCTGGGCCACATCGATGTCACTTTAAAAGAAAGTCAAATACATTTTATTCCTAAGTTTCACTGTATTTATAAGAAAAAAGAATCCCAATTCTCTTTAAAAGAAAAATTAAAACATATAACCAACCAAGTTTTAGAAGCCTTAGTATTTAATACGTTGATACATTCCAATACAATCCAAAAATGTAAGTAATGTGGAAATTAACTTGTATTTAAATTTGAAAAGCATCAATCATCAGCAAATACAATGTAATATGCAGAAGCCACTAAATCAAGTATAGAGGAAAAAACTAGAAATGATGGGCAAGATAGGCATGGGTTTTCATCAGGACCCTGCAAATTACAGGCTGTGTAAACTCTGATGTTCCCTAAGACTCAATTTCTTCCTCTAATAAATAAGAATAATCTCTCATACAGTTTAAAAATATTAAAAAAATGAAAAGTGTATAATGCTAAACAACAATCTAAATACTATCAGCCATATCCAGAACATAAATACCTCAAAACAACCAACCAGGCTTATACAGGAAATAGATGGCAAGGAAAACGAATTGGAGGGAGGCAAAGCTATACTGTAATAGATTGTTAGGAGACTCATAAGCTATATCAACCAAATGCGGTTTGTAGACTTTATTTAGCTTCAACTCAAACTGAAGAGGAAAAAAAAAAAAGCGTATATGTCAATTGGGGACATTTAAATGCTGACTGCATATCATATAGGCATACCTCGTTTTACTACACTTTGTTATACTGAGCTTCACAGATGCTGAGTTTTTAATAAACTGAACGTTTGTGTAACACTGCATTGAGCAAGTTTGTTGGTGCCATTTTCCAACAGCACAAGCTTACTTCATGTCTCTGTGTTACATTTTGGTGATTCTCATGCTATTTAAAAAATTTTCATTATTGTATCTGTCATGGTGATCTTGATTAGTATCTTTTAAGTTTTTTCTTATTTCTCAGTAGAGATGGGGGGCAGGGCGGGGACCTTACTATATTGCCCAGGCTAGTCTCAAAGTCCTGGCCTGAAACGATTCCCCACCTCAGCCTCCCAAAGGACTGGGATCATGGGTGTGAGCCACCACATCCGGTTCAATAATGTTTGATGCTATTAATTGTTTTGGAGTGCCACAAAGGATGCCCATATAATATGTCAAACTTAGCCAGGAAATGTTCTGTGTTCTAACTGCTCCATTGACTGGCTGCTCCTGCCCTCCCCCGCCTCCACTAATGTTTTTCCCTCTTGTTGGGCTTCCATGTTCCTTGAGATGCAACTACATTGAAATCAGGCCAATTAATAACCCTACAATGGTTACTGTCTGTTCAAGTAAAACAAAGAGTCACACATATCTCACTAGAAATGATTAAGCTTGGTGAAGAAGGCATGTTTAAAGCTTGATTTAGGCTAAAAACTAGGCCTCTTGCACCAAACAGCCAAGTTGTAAATGCAAAGAAAAAGTTCTTGAAGGGAATTAAAACTGCTACTCTAGTGAACATGAGTAAGAAAACAAAACTACCTTATTGTTCATATGGAGAAAGTTTCAGTGGTACAGACAGAAAGTTTAGAAGAAATTAATTTTAACCCTGATGCATGACTTTGAGGGGTTCAAGACTTCAGTGGAGGCAGTAACTGCAGATTTGGTGGAAAAAGCAAGAGAACTAAAATTAGAAGTGGAACCTGAAGATGTGACTAATTGATGCAATCTTGGAATAAAACTTTAACAAATGAGGGTTTACTTCCTATGAATAAGCCAAGAAAGTAGTTTCTTAAGATGGAATCTACTCCTAGTGAAGATACTGTGAATAATGCTGAAACAACAACAAAGTGTTTAGAATATTCGATAGAGTTGGCTCACAAAGCAGCGGTAGGGTTTCAGATGATTGGCTCAAATCTGACAGAAGTTCTACAGTGGGTAAAACATTTATCGAATAGCATTGTATGCTACAAAGAAATCTCCCATGAAAGAGTCAATCAACTGATGCAGCAAACTTCACTGCTGTCTTATTTTAAGAAACTGCTGCAGTTACCTCAAACTTCAGCAACCAACACCCATACCAGTCAGTAGCCATCAGCATGGAGGCAAATCCTCCACCCAACTTGCTGCAGGCTCAGATGATCATTAGCATATTTTAGCATTAGAGTATTTTAAAGATATGCACACTGCTTTTTTAAACATAATGCTATTATTGTACACTCAATAGACCACAATACAGTGTGAACATAACTTTTATAGGCACCGCGAAACCAAAAAAATTTGTGTGACTTGCTTTACTGCAGCGGTCTGGAACCAAACCCACAGTATCTCCAAGCTATGCCTATATTAAGGAATTACTGATAATTTTTTTAAAGGTGTGATGTGTTATGGAGGCTTTAAAAATTCCTTACCTCTAAGAGACAAATATCAAAGCATTTACAGATGAAATAAGATTATCTGTTATTTAATTTAAAATAATATGGTGAGGGCTGTGAGGTAAACTGGGGAAAAATAGATATAGTAAGACTGGCAATACACTTGTAATTACAAAAGCTGAATAACTGACATGCAAGGTTCATCCTACTAATTTCTCTAAATTTTAGCTATGTTTAAAAATTTCCATAATAAAAAATTTTCAAATAAAATGTCAAAAGGAGAGAAAAAAAGTAAAAAGCTAGATAGAGCCTAGAATTAACACACATGTAATAACAAAATAGGTCATAAACTTACCTAATTAGAAGTCACAGATAATTTCAAAAAGCAGAGAAATCTGTAATGGTGTTCCTTGGCTGTCAGTTATGCTAAGTCACTTGGAAAGCTACAGTCAAGTTCCAACATCATGGCATGATAGCTAGATTGTAAGGACTTGAGAAAAGGGAAACATACTACAGTATTCTGCTATAATGGCCGTCTCTGTGTAACTCTCTCCTCTCAAATGTGTGTCGTGACAATGACCCTTTCTTGCTCTTCATAAAAAGTTATCTTGCATGTTTATTTAAAACAAAAACAAAACATAACCAGAATAGAATTATGACTCTGAGTACAGCCTGGCCAAGAAGACAACCAACAGCTGACTTTAATATACAACTCTGAACCAACAGTTTACATTCCCTGATATCACTGCATAAAGAGCGTACCTAGACAACTGTTTATAGGTTTACATAAGCTTTGGCCTAGGCATGTCAAAACTCTCACATCTTAGCTGTGTTAAAGCTGACATCCACATGATTTTTCTCACAGAAGAACAGCTTTCTAGGTTTTATGTTCCTTATTTATATATATACTATTCTAAATAAAAGTATATGCATTTTAGCTACCTGTTAATGTAAAACATTCCAAAAAAACCTATGCATTTGTAAGCAAATACTACTGCTTTTCGTGGACCATGCCAACAATTTTTTAAAAAAGACGACACTTACTCTAAGTCAGGCAGTGGCTGATCAAAGTCATGAAATTCTTCAGGTAAAGTAATGGCATTATACGCTGCTTCCCGATTTTCCTCAGGCAGGTCAACAACACCTGGAAAATAAATGCTAAGTTTGAATATCTAGCTACCCACAAAATTATCTAGGGATAAGGAGGAGATAAGTAAGTATAAATTCCTAAGTTTATATTCTAATAGAAAGGTTGAAAACATATGCAAAATACCTTAAAGCACAAGTACTTCTCTTTTTCTATGCTCATAAATTGTATTCCTTGTTTTATGAAAAAGTCAAAGCACTAATTATGCATTAAGCTGACAAATGTTTACATGGACCTATCAACAAATAACTATTAACATGTAATTAATTAAACATGGTATTTATGGGGGGAAGAATGACTGCAAAGGAGTACCTTAAATGTTAAAAGGAGCTGGTTATTTTAGAGAAAGCAGAATTACACAATTTTAATTTTCTTTATATTTTTCCAGTTGTCTCTAATAAATATGCCTTACTTTGAAAGACAAACAAAAAGCATGTTACTTAGATAAAATGTGTTTATTGTTCACATGTTAAGTACTGTAGTCTTTTTCTAAATATTTTATTTTTAAATAAAATTTTGGATCTCAAACATTTTACTGTTCACAAACTGACATAAAATGAAGTACTAGAATGTATCCTCGGTAAAAACTGTTAAGGCATTTCTTCTATACACATTATTTTAATTAGAATAAAATTTCATCAATGGTTTTAAAAATTGTAGAAAGATATGTGAATTTAGATAAGCAGTAATTATCTACTTAGATGGTGGTGTGGTAACAACAAAAAAACTACAAAGAACATTTATTTAGGAAAAAAGTTTAAAACCCTAAAATTATCTTTTCTGAGCTATATTTTATAAAAATCATTACATAACAATTAGTTTTCAACATTTCAACCTCTGATGACTCAGTCTATGTAAGCTGCTGAAAAAAGTACTAAAAAGGCAGCTCCAAAGGAAGAACAAAAAAAAGGGGGTGAACTCCATTACTTCACAGGTCAAAGAGATGCAAATAAAGTACATTTCCTCCCTTGAACCACTGCCTCTGCAAGCCTGTTGATTTAGAAAATGTGTTTAGCTACAGTAACACAAAAAATATGAGAAACTCCAAAGAAAAAAAAAAAAAAAAAGCTTCAACAATACCTGGCCGAAAAGCCATCTTTATTTTAATGAATGCTTCATTACAGTCTGCAAGAAGGTATTTGGCTTTCCTGTGATAGATTCGAACTACTCCCAGTAAGAGATGTCCTGATGTCCGTAATGCCATTTTCACCTATGAATAAAACATTAATCATATTTCAAAGCTTGCATTCATGCTACTTAGAGTCTTTATATTTTCATTTTTCCTTTAAAATTGCCTAATAATCACATATATTTCTCACTGTCCTTGCCTCTAAATTCCCTGAATATACCAAAAAGACTGAGTGGTAATTCATGAATTAACATAAACATGAAGGTAGCTAGGAAGTAAGCACATCGTTCCATGAACTGTGTCATTAGCACATTAAGGAGCCTGTTAACACTTCTGGATGCCAATCCAGAGCCATTGCTTCTTGCTGGCTATGTCAATTCTGATTTTGTTTGAGAAGCAAATGTCCCCATATTGACAGATGTCTCATTCCTCTCTGCTAATACCTGTTCTTGAGAGAGCACGAAACACAGTTCGGCCAATTGAGTAATAGGTGAAGTATGCCAGAGAGTTTCTGAGAAAGATATTCCCCCCAAAAGAACACCATCTTTCTCTTCCTTCCTCCTTTCCTGCTTTGTGAATAGGTAGGGCTTGCTCATTTGCTTCATGCAGTCACCCTGTAAACCACAATGCTGAAGTATGAGGACAGGAAGCCAACAAACTAAGGATGGAGAGTCCTTGGATGACATAATCAAGCTGCTGAACCAATCTCAGATCTGTTTCCAAAATTTTAATGAAGTCTGTTATTTCCCTTATTGTTTAAGCCAATTTTTACTAAGTTTCCATTAACTGAAAAGCATACTAATTGAAAAAGGATAACAGTATCCATACCTTTTTTCACCAGTAAATATACTACCCAACTTTTTTTCAAGGCAGATCTTGATCAACATTAATATGGGATGCAGTATGTGGAGAGCAGTTGGTAAAACAATGAGACAAGACTCAATCTAAACACAAGTACTCAAAATTCCTCTAGCCATAAGGAAAAGTTACTGAAAGAACAAGTCAATATGAAATCAAACATCCCTGGATACTTTCCCAAATCAGATAAGATGCACCAAGTTCTAAGGTAATAAAAAAAAAAGCTTTTAACATTTGCTCTTGTTTAAAGTATGATTCGTATATTGTTATTCGTAAAATAAAATGTTGTGTTTTAAAGTTTATGTGTATTCTCCATAGCACTATAGGACTTTACTTATGACTCTCAGGCTCTGTACCTATGAGCATTTTTTGTGACTTACAGAATAAATGATGTCTGTGGCCATACATTTTTAGACATCTGAAGTTACACCAAATTTGTGATCAAATTCAGAATGTATCAATGAATCCCTAATTTAAAAAAAATCAAATTAAAATGTTGCTCCTAATGGAAAAACAGAACTATTTTTATGTGGTATTATAAAATTTAAAATTAATATTGACTGTACTTTCATCTAAGAACAGAGGAGGGAAAAAAAACCTCTGCTTGCTATTGTTTAGAACTAGCAACTTTCAAAAAGTGGTGTTTAAGCAAAAGCTTGCTTTCTAGATTAGTGTGGTTCAGAGTTTAGCCTAGGAGTGGGTAAAATGAGGTATGGCATATGTTTTTGAGCTATTGTGTGTTACAGTGTAAACACAAATATAATAAAGATGTCACTCTACATCTTCTGGGAAAGCTCTGCAAAGGGCGCCAGTGGGTCTTTCAATAGGAGAGTGGAAGAGAGAAGGGAGTATGTAAGCTTGCATTGCAAATGAGCCATGTGTGACACTTACGCTAAACAACTAAACCAACATTTTCACGAGAACTGCACACCAAAGCAAACATTAGAAATTTCAGGACAGTTCAACTCTGTGGAAATATCTTTATATCCTGTTATCAAATAAATAATAGCTCAGCTAGAAATGGTTTAAAACATTTAAAGATAAATCACTTTCTTTCATAAACACATTACAATCTTTTACACGATTCCTGAACTGTCTGCTTTCCTTTGTGGCTGTTCATGTATACCTTCAATTAACAGATTTTCTCATATCCTTTGGTAGTGTCCCTAAAGGGGTACAAAGTACTCAGTACCTAGCATGAAAAAAATCTGTTATCCTTTTAAGCCAAACACTCTCAATATTTGCTTACGGATGTTAAAGATTAGCCACACATATACTTTCAAGAAAAGAGTACGATTTCTCTCTTTTCCATTAACTTATCCCAGTAAGCATACCTATTAAAAAAAAAAAAAAAAATTGACCAGCAGTGCAAACTGGTACAACCTCAGCAGAGCAAACTGTTGGTGCCTATCAGAAATCTCAAAAACATGTTTATCACTTGGCCTATCAATTATAATCCTAAAAATAGATCTCAAGAACATACTTAAGGGTGTGAACAAAGTTTAATAAGAAATGTTTATTAAATGGCTAGTCTTAGAAAATAAAACAACCTATAATACTACCACCTACAGAAATTTTTAATAATCTTTTGGTATGCCTTCTAGGCTTTCCAGTGTGCATGCGCACAATTTTTCTTTGTGTATATACACAAAAAAGGATATAACAATTGTCAGAAGACTGCATCCAAGAAAAAGAGTAGTTTTGGGTTCACAGCAACACTTAGGAAAAGACACAGATTTCTCATAAACACCACCTTCCCCACACAGAGACAATCTTCCCCATAACCGACACCTGCCATCAGGGTTTCATTTATTACAACTGATAAACTTACATTGACACATCATTACCAGAAGTCCCTAGTTTACATCAGGGTTCACTCTTGGTGTTAACATACTGTGAGTTTGGAAAAATGTATAATGACATTTATTAACCATTATACTACCATGCAAAACAGTTTTACTGCTCTAAAAAGAATCGTCTGTGCTCTGCCTATTCAACCCTCCATTCTCTCCCCAACCTCCCATCCTTTTACTGTCTCATTTTTAGTGTTGGCTTTTCCAGAGTGTTCCACAGCTGCAATCACAGAATATGTAACCTTTTTAGATTGGTTTATTTTACTAAGTAATACGCATTTACAGCATTTCCACATTTTTTTTTTTTTTGAGACAAAGTCTCTGTTAGTTCATGACCTCTGCCTCATGGGTTCAAGCGATTTTCCTGCCTCAGCCTCCCGAGTAGCTGGGACTACAGGCACACACCACCACGCCCAGCTAATTTTTGTATTTTTAGTATACGGAGTTTCACCATGTTGGCCAGTATGGTCTTGATCTCTTGACCTTTTGATCGCCTGCCTCAGCCTCCCAAAGTGCAGGGATTACAGGTGTGAGCCACCGTGTCAGGCCCATCTTCTTGTTTTTTTTGAGACAGGGTCTCACTCTGTCACCCAGGCTGCAGTGAACTAGTGCTAGCTTGGCTCACTGCAGCCTTGACCTCCCAAGCTTAACAGATCTTCCTACCACAACCTCCCAAGTAGGTGGGAATACTGGCACTTGCCACACAGTCAGGATAATTTTTTTGTATTTGTAGATAAGGGGTTTGCCATGTCTTGAACTCCTGGGCTCAACCCATCCACCCACCTTGGCCTCCTAAAATGCTGAGACTGTAGGCATGTGCCATCGTGCCTGGCCTGTTCCTCCACATCTTTTCTTGACTTCATAGCTCATTTCTTTGTAGCACTGAATATTTCAGTGAAAGGTTAATTTATCCATTCATCTACTCAAGGACATCTCAATTGCTTCCAAGTTTTGGTCATTATGAATAAAGCTGCTATAAATATCTGTGTGCAGGCTCTTGTAAAGACGTAAGTTTTCAACTACTTTGAGTAAACACCAAGAAACAAATTTTAGGTAAGAATAATGTTTAGTTTTCTAAGACACCATCAAACTGTTTTCCACAGTGGCTGTACCATTTTGCATTTCCACCAAAAATGAGAGTCACTGCTGCCCCACATCCTCACCAACATTTGGTGTTGTCACTGTTTTGGATTTTGGTCATATTAATAGATGAGTAGTGATAGCTTGTTTTAATGCTTGTCTTTGCATTCTCTTGACACTATCTTTTGAGAGCAGTACTTTCTAATTCTTAAGTCCAGCTTTTGAATTTTTTCTTTTTTAGATCACACCTTTGGCGTCATATCTAAGTCACTACCAAATCCCAGGTCATTCAGAAATGTTATCTTCCAGCAGTTTTATAGTTTTGTGTTTTAAATTTAGGCCTATGATCCATTTTGAGTTAATTCTTTTGAAGGGTGTAAAGTCTGTCTAGCTAGTTCATTTTTCTTTTGCATGATGTCTAGCTATTCCAGCACTATTTGTTGAAAAGACAATCTCCCATTGTATTGTTCTACTGTTGTTTTTAATGGTTTTTCATTGGATAGACCACAATTTCAAAAAATTAGAAACAATGTAAGCTATCCAAAAAAAAGGGAGGAGTAAAATAAATCATACATAACCCAAACAATGATTTACAGTTCCATATTCCCTAATTCCTTATCCAAAATCCTAGGGGCCAAATGTTATAGAATTCTGGGCTTTTTGAATATTATAAAGGTAATGCAGTGTGTGTGTATGACACAGATGTGTGTACACAGAGTATATTACAATATTCCCAAGAATGTCTAGAGCAGCCCCCCCACAATTATATACATTAGCATTCCTATAGTAAATGTATGAATATTTAGGTAATTAAGGGCTAGGTGCAGTGGCTCATGCCTGTAATCCCAGCACTTTGGGAGTCTGAGGCAGACAAATTGCTTGAGCTCAGGAGTTCAAAACCAGCCTGCACAACATGGCAAAACCTTGTCTCTACAAAATTACAAGAATTAGCCAGGTGTGGTGGTGCCCATCTGTGGTCCCAGCTACTCGGCAAGCTGAAGTGGGAGGACTGCTTGAGCCTAGGAGGCAGAGGTTGCCAGGAGCCAAGATCATGTTTGCACTCCAGCCTGGGTAACAGAATGAGATCCTGTCTCAAAAAAACTCACTTCAGTCTAGGTTAAGTCTGTTTCAAATTTTGTATTTAAGTTCTTTGTATGAGATTATGCTGTAAATTACAAACATTAGATGGTTAGACCTATTAGAGCTGCTCCTGAATGCAGTTGTGTTACAAAATATAAATGCAATTTTTGTGTACACACATAAAAAAATTATGTGCATTATGTAGTCACACAAAAGTCTAGTAGGTTTATCAAAATATTACTAAAGATCTAAGTAATATGGACTACGGTTTTTCTGTTTGTAAAATTTTCACCTTATTAAAATTTTCAAATTAGTACTGTCCCAGAAAGAACACCAAATGTTTTTAATAGCAATCAATTCCACCAGCAGTAAGTCTAAAACCAGCCAAAACTCCACATACAAATGGAACTTTGTAATTTACTGTAACTCCAAGCACAAACTTTCATTCCTCCCACCTAAAAAAAAATACTTTTCCACATACTTTTTGAACAAGTCTCTGCTTCATCCCCAGCTTTATTCTTCTGAGATTCCTTCATTCTTCCAGTAATAAAACTACTCTTAATGTATTACGTCAACACTGTCCAAACTCAAAATTCTAGGAATAGTTCCCACTGCTGCTTCACATGGCTGTGATCTGGAACATTTTGACTATAGGACAGTTGGGGCATGCATGTGGTGCGTGCGTGTGCACTTGTGTATGTACACGCAAAATAAGGTGCAGGAAAGAGTCTTTGAAACCCAGATATAAATATATATAAATTATATTTAAGGACTCTTTCTTTGCGATTAGTCTTTCATACACTTTTGAAGTCAACATGTGCACCCCTCAATGAAATGCTAATGACAGTAGATGGTAAGTCCACTTGTGTTTTAAAGGTTCGTTCTTAGCAAAGCAAAAAACCCGTAGGGTATTACTTTAAGTCATACTATTTTGAAATCCAAGCGTGTAAACCACTGCCTCTGAACAGTTTCAGAGGACATTAATAAAAGCTCCTTTAAGGAACAATCAGTAAACAGTATTTGGGCACTGCCCTGACTCATGCTTATTTGCTATTAAAAATAGGCAAATCAAAATGTCAATGCACTTAGAGATTTTTTTTAAAGAAAAAAGAATCATACTGTGACCATGTCAAAGTATGTCTAGAGGTGATAAAGAAAGACTTCACATAATAAAGAAAAATTTCTAAGGATTTCCCTTGCCTCCAATGTACCTACCTAAAAAAAACTGCTTTAGAAGTTCTGTTTCACATATCAGTAAACAATCAACAAAGTAAATAAAAATGTCAACATTAAACATACCTTTGGTGAGATGATACTCTCCACGCTGCTCTCTAAATTACACTCAAACACATGGGCTTTGGTTAGCTTCTTATCCCAATGGGCCGCTAGCCAAATTTTGGCTAGTGGCCCTCTTTTACTGAGAACAAAATGTGCGTAGAACATTGTTCTGGTTGGTTATGAAAATAGAAGAAAACCTAAGAGGGGAAAAAAAGTTAATGTAAATATCATCTGATAACTGAAATACTTATCAAGACATAAGACATCTAAAATTTTTCTTCTCTCTTTAATATAAAAACTTTAAAAGGCTAGAGTAAATGTTTAATACGTATTTTAAAAAAGTCTATTGCTTTAATTTTGAGGGGGGGAAAACAGAGCCCAAAATTCTAAGAGGTGAAAGTAAAAGGGACAAGAGTCAAATTGCTTTCATACCTGGTTTCATTTTTATCTTGATTGACAGTGGAAATAGTTTGTTTACTGGCCAAAAGCTAGAGAATATATTTTCTGTGGCAAGAAAACAACATCTAAGAAGAAAGATACTTAGGCACAGATATCAATCTATGTGGAAATTTCCATTTTTAGAATTCCATTAAAAATTGTGATTCTGGGATCAATGATCTGTAAAATTGCTACTACATGAAAAGCACTGTACTAAGCATTTCATATTCCGCCAAGAAAAACTAAGTAGGTGGGCCAGCCTCATTTTACAGGTGGGAAGTTTAGAAAAACAGAGGCTCAAAAAAGGTAAAGAATTATAATATATAGTTTTCTTAACTGAGGAACTTACGAAGCATTTGTCTACTTATAATTTAAACATTAAATCAAGGACAATGTATAGCAGAACATTTATCTTATGACTGAAATAGTCTTGGAATCACAAATGTTACCATCATTTTACTTTCCTTTTGCACTCTAATGTATTAACAAAATAAAGGTAGCTTGAAAACCCCAGTTCAGACGAGTATATTAACTGCAGGATATTTCCTTTACATCATTTAGTTTCCCTCTTTCACAGAGTTAAAAGAAATGTACCTTGGCAAATGAATTTCTGCCTTTTTTCTAGAATTTCCATGACTAGAAAACGACATACGCCTTGCTTTCACAGAAATAAAATCAAGTACATGCACCATACATAAAAAGTACTTTAAATTTTTAATTTGAAATAGAGTCACAGGGAGTCATGAAAATAGTAGTTCCCATGTATTTTTACTCTCAAAGGTGACATCTTACATAACTAGAAGGTAGTATCAAAACCAGGGCACTGACACTGATACAATGTGTCTATAGACTTTTATACCATTTTATCACATGTGCAGATCTGTAGAATCACCACGCAAAAAGAGACAAAACTATTCCATCACTACAAAACTCATGTTCATCCCTCTCTCCCTGCCATTCCTAAGTCTTGACAATCACCATCTGTTCCACATTTCTAATTTTGTCACTCTTTTTTCTTTTAAGAGATGGGGTCTCATTCTATTTCCCAGGCTGGAGTGCAGTAATGTGATCATAGCTCACTGCAGCCTTGAACTCCTAGGCTCAAGCAATCCTCCTGCCTTAGCCTCTCAAGTAGCTGGAACTACAGGTGTGAGTCACCACAATGGACTTAATTGTGTTGTTTTGAGAAAGTTATATAAATGAATCATACAGTATGTGACTTCTTGAAATGGCTTTTTGGATCTAGCACAATGCTTCTGTGATCCAAGTTGTTACATTTATCAATAGTATTACCGTCTACTGTTGGGTAGCATTCCATGAGATGCATATATCATAATTTGCTTGCACATTCACCTAGTGAAGGACATTTAGTTGTTTCCAGTTTTTGGCTATTACAAATAAAGCTGTTATAGCGTACAGTCTTTTGCTGAACGTTAAGTTTTCATTTCTCTGGGACAACTGTCCAGAAGTGTGATTGCTGAAAAGTATCGTAAGTGTATGTTTAGTTTTTAAAGAAACTTTAATACAATTATCAAAATAGTTTTTTTACATTTACAGACAAGATTATCAAATTTATATTGAAAAGCAAAGAAACTAGAGAAGCTGAAACTATTTTGAAAAAGTGAGAAGAATTAGTCTACTTAATTTCAAGACTTACTATATAGCTACAATACTCTACACCGGTATTGGCAGAGAGAGAAACACAGTCAATGGAACAGAACTGAGAACCCAGAGGTAGCAACTGATTTTTTTTTTTTTTTTAAACAAAGATGCAAAAGCTATCTAATGGAGAAATGATAGATTTCTCAACAAATGGTGCTAGTGATTAAATACCATCTGAAGGCCAGAAAACATGCACACGCACACATCCCCCCAAAACAAAAAACGCAAGGAAAAAACCCTCCACCTAAACCTCACATGTTATATAAAAATTCAAAATAGACAAAACTTTTTAAATGGCAGGGGGTAGACCTTCAGTACCTAAATCTTGGTAAAAATTTTGACACAAAACCAAAAACACAACCCATGAAGGAAAAGTTCTTGCTCAATAAACTCGCCTTTATCAAATTAAACTTTTGCTCTAAGAAAGAAATGCAAAGATAAGTTACAGACTGGGGAAAAAATATTTGCAAACCACACATCTGACTAGAACTCAGATATAGAATATGTAAAGAATTCTCAAAACTCAGGGTAAAAAGAAAAAAAAATAGTGAGCAAAAGAAGCCAGGCATACTGGCTCATGCCTATAATCCTAACGCTTTGGCAGGCCGAGGCAGGCAGACCACTTGAGGCCAGGAGTTCAAGACCAGTCAGGGAAATTAGGCGAAACCCCATCTCTACTAAAAAATACAAAAATTAGCTAGGTGTGGTGGCATGTGCCCGTAAGCCCAGCTACTTGGGTGGCTGAGGCAGGAGAATCGCTTGAACCCAGGGTGAATAGGTTGAAGTGAGACAAAGACTGTGCCACTGCATTCCAGTCTGGGTGACAGACTGTCTAAAAAGAAAAAAAAATGAGCGAAAGAAGACAAATTTCATAGAAGAGGTTTACTGATGATAAGAACATGAGATATTTATCACTAGGCATTTGAGAAATACAAATTAAAGCCAAAAATGTTATCACCACACACTTATTGTAAGAGCTAAATTAAAAAATAGTGGCAACATCAAATGCTGGCAAAGACAGAGAAGTTGGATCTCTTACACTGCAGGTGGGACTAAAATCTCTTTAGAATTAGCTTTTTTCTAAAAGATACAGATAGTTTTCATGTTTTCACCAAGTCTGTAAATCTTAAAATGAGAATTTTGCTTACTGTACTTTCAATTAAAAAGTTCCCATTCTTTCCAATGATATAGAGAAAACATATTTTAGTTAAGCATATCACAAGCAACAGATTTCTTACATGTCAAAAATATTTGGGAGGGTAGGGGGCTGTGGTGCAAGACTACTGCAGTCAGGTTTGCCTTATCTACATTTCCATCACTTAACAGTAAAGAGTCCTGAAATTCTCATTCTCTTGTTTCTTGTCTTCCCAAAGGATTACTAATTCATATTAAAAAAGAATTTTCTAAAAAGAAAAAAAAGGCTTCGCCAACTGTCTAATGTTGTGAACTCTTTTTCCTAAATTTGGAGTTAAGGACGGAAGAAACTGGCTAGGCATGGTAGCTCATGTCTGTCATTCCAGCACTTTGGGAGGCCAAGTCAGGAGGATTTCTTGAGGCCAGGAGTTCCAGACCACTCTGGCCAATACAGCAAGACTCTGTGTTTATTAAAAAAGAAAAGAATGAAGAAATACTATATTCTATACAAAGAAGAACTCAAAACATTCTTAAGGTACGAGCATTAAATAATAACACCTCAAAGGTCCTTTATTTGGCATTTAGTATTTTATAGATTAAAACATGCTTCCCATACTGGAAGAGGGTTCCAAATCAGTGCCTACTTCAAGCCTTAAAATATCATCAGAAAACTTAAGCTGCCTCAACTGTGTTATAAATAAAATCTACAGAATTGTATAGAAATCCAACATGGCGGTGTGTTCTGAGAAATACAATCACTGCTGTACACGATAAGCTCCAAGTTCCACTATGGAAGCAAGCAACTGTATCCTAAATAAACAAAAAACTCCTTAATATTAACCTTCTAGAATACTGTCTGCTGCATGAAAATTACTAAATATGTGCTTAATGAATAAAAATAAATATGATCCACCAAGTGATCTCATAATTGACATATGTAAAAAATTTTAGACATTTTAAAAATTAAATCTACTGGCATTTTTCAACAGGTGTCGGTAGCTGATGGCCAGCACTTCAGCTGCTGGTCAGAGCACCATGCCTAAAATATCCCAGCTATGCAGAGGCAGGGATTCCTAAATAGATGCCTGTTTCGCATCAGATGAGGCTAAGGAACGCAGAGTGGTGCTAAAATTAATGTGGGAAACAATTAGCAAGAGGAAATTAATAACTAAAAGAAGCCAAAGTAGCAGTGGTGGATCAACTCCTGGTGTATACCCGAATGAGAAGTGTAATTATAATTGCCTTTTAAGCCAATATTTTTCCTTAATACTAAACTTTATCCAATCTTTTTATATTTGAAGATTCTGTATTCTGCTAAATGAAAGAACTGTGCAGAAAATCTGCATTTGATACCAGAGCACAACTTAGCTTTTCATGATTTGAGAGTCATTTTTTTCTAAAGCAGCAATTTTTTAAATTGATCCTGAAAAATTAAAGTCTGATGTGAAACAGCAGAAAGATTGCTACTTTAGAACATATTCAAGAATGCAAAAAACGGCAATTTAAGATTGCTTCAAAGAATCAGTCAAACTAAAGCTCATGCTTCTAGAACAGTATCAGTCAGTGTCAATACTTCATTAGAAAGCATGGCAGGACAGTGGTTGTGAAAATTGGTGTGATCTCTCTGAAGGACAATATGGCAACATCTTATGAAAATTTCACTTACACTTTCTGGCCAGAAATTTCACTTTCAGTAACCAATACAAAAGATACACTTGGAGATGCCTATTAGTAAAGACAAAACCAAAAAACCAAACACCAAAAAACGCAAATAAAACTTATTAACCACTATGTGTTTTATGTATCCAACGTCTTCATGACTGTCCTACAGAAGTAAATACTGGTCCATTTTTCAGGTGAGAAAACAGATGAAGACAAGTAAATGTCACTAGTATTTAATGGAAGTGGAGCTTGAACATTAGAATCCATACTTCTAACTACAACACCATGCTGGCTTGCCAGAGCAGAACAGCAAAACATTCAAAGTAATCTACTTGGCCATCAATAAGTGGTATGAAAAATTAACATACCCAAACAACAGAATACAGTCAGTCCTCCTTATCCATGGCTTCTGCATCCATGGACTAAACCAACCCAGAATCAAAAATTGTTCGGGGTGGGGCAAGGGAGACAAAAAATAACACAACAATAAAATAAATAAATAAATAAAAAACTGTAACAACTATATAAACTATTAACATAGCATTTACATTGTAGTATTATAACTAATCTAGAGATTGTTTAAAGTATATGGGATGTGAGTAGGTTATATGCAAATACTACACTATTTCATATAAGGGACTTGAACATTCATGATTTCGGTCCCGTAACCAATCCCCCTTTAATATCAAGGAACAGTTGTACACTAAAGCTTTAAACAGGAATACATTTGTGCTAATATGGAAAATCTCCAGGTTAAGTGCAGAAAAGTTGGAGTTTTAAAAAAAGAATGCCCTTCTCTCCACATATTTACAAGCTCTTGAATAAGCTTAAAATATCTGTGGCGTACACATGAGAGTGGTGATACTGGTTAACTCTGGAAAGTTGGTATGCAGGGCATGCGAGGCCTACTTTTCTGTAATGTTATATATATATATATATATAAACTCTTGGGGCATATATGTGTATCACTTATTCAAAGTAAAAACTACTGTCTCAGAAGTAAATACATAATCCTGCTTTGTCATTAACTAGCAGGTTAAGCTACCTAACCTCTAATGCAGTTCAGTTTTCCTACTATAAAAACATAAAAGGTTGAAATCTGGTGATTTCCCTAACCTTTGAAAACATCAATATCTAACTCAGATCAGAATGGAGATACCTCTTTGGGGTAGCGGTGAGCAGATCTCAGAAGGTATTTCTAACCCGGCACACTAGAAATTTCCTCCGTTTTGGTTCTAACATCCTTTAACCAAGGGTTTTACAATCAGACAGTCGTAGGTTCAAATTCAGCTCCCTCTTAGTTGTTTCATAACGGTAAGTTATTTCTCAACTACAATAAAGTGGGTATAATGTTCACCAAAAAAGATTATGAAAACTAAATACAAGAGCACACCTAACATAGTGTCACTGCTGATGCAAAGAGTTAACTTTGAGGACAATCTTGCTGCAAAACATTAGCCAATATAATCATGCCTAACAGCTCTAGCATGACATTTAAACTAAAAACACAACCTTTATTCCAAGAATTAGAAAATTTCCATTCTGTACCAAACTGCAAAAGATAGTTTCTTAGAATTTGTATGTTTCACAAAACAGTAATTCACCAGAAAAGAAAATCTCTTTTGTAATTCCGACTTGTGTATAAAAAGCACTATGTCTATTAGTTATGCACTTCTGTCACCTCAACTATGCAAACTGTTAACTTTTTGGAGATATGGCGTATGTCCTAATCAATAACGTGCCAAAAATAATCAGTTGTCTCCGACATTAACAAAGGTATTTAATGACTTCACGATTTCAGAAACCTTCTCCTGCCCGTCTCCAAAATTCCAGACTAGCACAGCCCACTGGCATTCACACCCATTTTAAGAAAACAGAAAATTTTGCCTGAAAACCAGTTACTCTTCTAACTAGTATGAGAGCAACGATAAACTTTCCCTTGGAAAAAGAAGCCGATAAACACAAGTCTTTCCCAGACACCCTTCACACAAACGCTTTTTTGCACGCTGAAGACATTAACAAATCAGTGACCAAGTAAACCCCTCAGCATTTCCCTCCTACAAATTTGAAGGCCACTAAGTCTGGCAGCACAACTCGACAGTGTCATCCTACATTATCAGAGCGGATCATTCGCAAAAAGCCTTTTTCAGCGACGAAAAAGGCATCAAGCATTTAGCAGAAACACACGCCTCCCCCACAGCGTCTCTACAACACCCGATATCCTTAATCACTTTTTAAAATGACTGGAAAAGTTGAGGGGAAAACCAGTAATTGAGCAAATGTCCTCGGAATAAGCAGCAACTTCCTTCAGTTGCTTTTTCTACGTGTCTGTGCAAGGTTTAGTATTCCCAATGTAAAAATTATCTTTTTAAAAAGGGAGGGCAGCAGCAGTCACTGGCCAAGGGGCATCCGCCGCCGCCCCCCGCCCCACCAGGTCCGCACTTTCTCGAGCCCCGCACCCGAGCTCGGCGGAAGGTTGCTGCTCCCGGGCTGGCACCGCGGATGCCGGGCCCGCCACCGCCGACGCCGGGCCCGCCACCGCCTCCTCCCGCGTCTTCCCAGACAGCCATTTTTACCGACGGAGTAGGCGGCCCGGTCCCCAGAGCGGGCTCGTTCAAACCTCCTCCCCATTCCTCCGTAGCCCAGTGTTTCCCCGGCTCCTGGGGAACGTGAGACTGGACCTCAGAGTAACAGCCTCTGTAGATCTCAGAATGGATTAGAACCATTTGTTACCGAACAAGCGATGATGCGGGCCCAGGCTGCACGGGTCCCGGCCGAGGGCGGGCCCGGGGCGTAGGGGGCTGGGCGGGTGGCGCCGCCGCTCGGGCGCAGGGAGGGTGGCAGCACGCGGAGCCGCGGCGAGTGCTGCCTTCTCCCTCGCCCTCCCGTCCCTAGGAGTCCGGCTCCTCGACGGCAGCGCGGCGGGGAACGGGTTGGGGGGAGGGAGCTGAAAGGAAAGAAGAGGTCGACGAGCTTCTTACCTTGCTATCCGCTGGGAGTTGGGCGGGCTGGGTGGCCCGGGGAGGGGAAAAGGGTCGGGGGAGGGGGCGGGGAAAGGGGGGGAACCCTTCGAGGTGTAGCTTCGGAGCAGCTCCCGCCGCCGCCACAGCCGGCGCCTCCTTTCCGATTCACTCAAACAAACAAGATGGCTGCCGTTACGCCGCGGCTCTTCCTGCCGCCCAAATCCTCGGTTCAAATCGGCAGGATGTTTACGGTCAAAATGGTACCTGTGCGCCTGCGCAGCCGGCCTAAGCCGCAGAAAGAGCGGCGCATGCGCAACGACCATTTCCTTTTTTTTGGAACCAGCCTTCTGGTCCTGGAGTCCGCAACTGAGCAAGCGCAAAGGTGATTCTCCTGAGAGAGGGTCTTTTAAGAGTTGTGTTGGGCAATAGCGCAGGATAGCGCACGCGCAATGCTTTCCAGTGAGGCGAATATTTGCGTTTAGTTTTATTCTTGTGCTCGTTTTAAAGAAAAACACCGTCGTGGTGCAGTTTTGTGTGACTCCACACAAAAAATTCATTTTATGGCTCTATAGCGATGAAGGTAACATAAAAACCTCAAACTAACTCCGTAAAATATAGAGGTTCACTTACTCGGTCAACCCATAATACAGAGGGTCTTCTGTTTGCTACATTTTGTGCCAGCTAGGCTCTGGATGTAGTGATGAATGTAACAGAGATAATTCCTGCCCTTGGGAAATTTTCAGTATAGCTTGGGAGGGAATCTTAAAATTTCTTATCTTAAAATACTTATTTGTACCACGAAGAAATTCACTTTTGCTTGTATTGTAGAGATTTTTCCAGTGATGAAAAGAAATTGAAGAGGACACAAAAAATGGAAAGATATTTCATGTTCATGGACTGGAAGAATCAATATTGTTAAAATTTCCATACTACCCAACACAATCTACAGATTCAATGTAATCCCTATCAAAATACCAATGACATTCTTCACAGAAAGATAATAATCCTAAAATTTATGTGGAACCACAAAAGACACAGAGTAGCCAAAGCAATCCTGAGCAAAAGAATAAAGCTGGAGGCATCACATTACCTGACTTCAAATTATACTACAAAGTGATAGTAAACAAACAGCATGATGCTGGCATAAAAACAGACACATAGCCTAATGGTACAGAGTACAGGACCTAGAAATAAATCCGTACATATACAGTTGACTATAAATCCATACATATACAGTCAATTAATTTCTGACAAAGCTGCCAAGAACATATATTGGGTAACGGAGGGTCTCTTCAACAAACTGTTTTGGAGAAACTTGATAACTACATGTAGAAGAATGAAACTAGATCCCTATCTTTTGCCATATTAAAAAAAATTGAAACAAAATGACTTGAAGACTGGAATCTAAGGTTTGAAACTATTGAGACTACTAGAAAAAAACATTAGGGAAATCTCCAGAACCAAATATTTCTTAGTAAGACCTTAAAAACATAGACAAGCAAAGCAAAAAAGGACAAATGGGATCATGCCAAGCTAAGAAGCTTCTGCAAAGCAAACAACAAAGTGAAGAGACAACCCATCAAGTGGGAGACAATACTTGCAAACTACTCATCTGTCACAGGATTAATAGCCAGAATGTATAAGGAGCTCAAATAACATAATAGGAAAATAAATAATCCAATAAAAAAATGGGCAAAAGACCTGAATGGACATTTATCAAAAAA